CAAGTTGGCATAACTTGGGGCAAACCTAGTCCCCATAGCTGTACCTCTCTTTTGCAAATAAAATGAATCTAAAAACCAGAAATAATTATTTTTTTAAATAATATTTATACCTTCTATTATAAAATCGATTTGAATATCTGGGATCCTAGCTTCTTTGGTTAAAATTTCTTTTATAGCTTGACAGCCTATGTCATGGGGAATAATAGTATAAAGAGACTGAACGTCACATGTAACTAATATAAAATCCGTTTTCCAAGTAAAATCATTTAAAAAATTTTAAAAGTGACATGGAGTCTTTTAGATAAGATTTCATAAGTTTGACTGAAGGCTGGAGAAGGGTATCAATGTATTGGGAAAGGTTGCATAAAAGTGAACCTATCCCAGACACAATTGGTCTACCTGGAGGATGTTGTTTGTTTTTATGGATTTTGGGAAGGAAATAAATAACAGGGGTAATAGGAAATTCTTTGTTTAAAAAATTGAATTCATGTTTGTTTAAAATATTTAAATTAAGACCTTTGTTTAAAAAAGTGGATAAAATAATTTTTATATTTTCAGTAGGATCTGATAAAAGTTGTTCATATACATTTCTGTCTTTTAATTGTTTATGAGCTTCGTCTATGTACATATTACTAGACTGGATAACTATTCCACCACCTTTATCAGCTTGTTTGATGACAATATCTTTGTCTTTTTGAAGTTCTTTGATTGCTTGTCTTTCGGCATTTGTAAGGTTTTGAGCATCATATTTTTTGTATTTTATTTTATCTAAATCTTTTTGAACTAATTTTTCAAAAAGAGTAAGAGGGGCGGATTTACAATGAGATGGATAAAACTTAGATTTTGGCCTGAGGTTGGTATTAATAAAAGAGCTATTGTCTATCTTTGGAGAGGTCGGTAGAATAGGTGGAATAGATTCTTCATCGTTTTTACTTATGAAAAATCTTTTTAGTGTAGCTTTTCTAACAAATTTGTTAATATCAAGAAAAGCTTGAAATGAGTTAAAAGAAGAGGTAGGGGCAAATTTTAGACCTTTACTTAAAACAGACAATTGTGCAGCTGATAAAACTTTCTGGGAAAGATTAAAGATACCATTACAGGATTTGGTGTGGGGTGTTATTGTCTTTCCAATCTTTCTCTTTTGCTCCCGTCTTCCACTTCGTCTTCCTCTAAGCTTAGAATTCTTTTTTGGGAACGTGAAGGGTGCGGTGTCTGGACTAGTGGGGGCTGGTGGGTGTGTATTTCTAAAAAATGATCTTCATTGTCAAAGTCTGAATCGACTGATAAAAGTTGGTACCTATTTGGGTGATTGGGAATAGTGGGTGATTTTGAGTAGTTAGAATACTCATTTTGATCATTTGTATACCTTGATCTTTGTGGTTTGGGTGAAAAGTTTAAACCAGAAGAGTTGTAATATCTAGGGGATTGAGGTACAGGATTAGGGTTGTGGTGAGGAAATTTCCTTAGTTTATGTGGGGGCAATTGGTATGTGTTGGTGGTACCTTGATAAGGTAATTTAGAAGGGACGTAGTGCTGGTGAGAGAAAGTATTTTTAGGTCTTATTGTAGATGGGGATTGGTGATGGGACTTTCGTGTGATATAATTCTGGTATTTAGAGGATGGTTGATATGCCATATTGTTGTGAGAATGGGAATTGTTATGTGTATAGTTAAGATTTTGATAACTTGGTCTGGAGGGATAATTATCTGAGGTGTACTTTTTTTTAAGATGGTAGGTTCTCACTTGTTTGTTTGAATAGTCAGTTTTATCTCTAATATATTTTCTGATTTTCAGGTGTTTTGTATCAACTTCAACTTTTTCTATTTTATTTTGTATTAGTACAGAATTTTGTTTATAGGCCTTTGTTTCTGTAAATGGTAGAAGCTTCTCTCTAAGGTCATTTATTTCAATGTCTAGAATTGATAGTTTTTTGCTTTTTTTAACTATTAGTGTTTCCATTAATCCGAAAGTGCATATTTCCAATTTATTATTCCACTCCTCCATGAACTCAAGATCATCCTGATCAGAGGTAGGTAGTTTTAAAAGTCTTAAACCACGGGGGGTGATTTGTTCATCTATATACTTTTTAAGGGTGGCAATTTCCCATTTAAGCTTAATTTCTGTGGATAATGCTTTTTCTAATTTTGTAAATAAATCCTGTTGATTAGAATAATGAGGAATTGTTTGTATAGAGTTAATTACCTCTGTATTAAATACATTATTGACATCAATTGTGTATTTATTCCTGAATTCAAAGATAGACATGTTGTAGAAGTTAAATAGCAGCTATCCCAAAAGGGAAATTGAGAAGTAGTAATAAAAATAAAAGAATGAGACAGCGCTTGGTTAACTTATAGGCAGCAACCTTAAAAGGGGATCCCTCAAACCCTTTGAAATAAGGTGAATAAAAAACAGTAAAAGGCTGCGCCACAATAAATAATAAAAAATATATGTAAAATAGTCCAATGGAAAGTTCAAAAAAGGAGAAAATCCCAATATTTATCCTTACAGATAGTCTTTGGTGGTAAGGTCTTCTACTGATATGGTGGATCCACTTGGTATGAAAGATAAAAAGAGAGAGGGACAACCAATGGTGCAGTATGTAAAATTCAAATGTGAATATAAAAGAATAATAGTGTAAAACTCACATTTACCAGAGCTAATATCCAGCTCTGGAGTAAGGCGCCTACAGCGGTTTAAATCCCCGCTTATGGGATATAAATGGGTTCCTCTCCGTCGTTGGTGTCCAATTCTCGGAATAAAAGAGACAACTAATAGTGCTCACTGTATAGTATTGTTGGTAAAATAATAAAAGAATGTACTTACAAGGTAAGAGCAGGCCAACTGCTCTATGATGATAGCTTGGGTGGATTGATCCCCACCTAAGGATTTCTTTAAGTACAGGAAACTTCCAGGGATATTGTCCAATGATTTTTATAAAACCAATAAAAAAATAATACTAAAAAGCCAGGGTAAAAGGAAAAGTTATGTGTCTTTAAAAAAGTTGATTGGCACAAATAAATGACCAAAAATACTTTAATATGATAAAAGAACACAAATATTAAATATCCATAACGCGTTTCGTCAAAAAAAAGACATTTTAATATCATGTTATAGTATTATTATTTATACACTTATTGAGTTATTTATGCAATTTAATGTTTTAATTTTGTTTTTAATTCTGATTGGTTGTACCATTTTTGGCGCCAAATTCAAATTAGTTTTATCTTTATAAAACATCTATTAGCCAGGTATCATATGTAAATCCATTTGAAAAAGTCTTTTTTTTGACGAAACGCGTTATGGATATTTAATATTTGTGTTCTTTTATCATATTAAAGTATTTTTGGTCATTTATTTGTGCCAATCAACTTTTTTAAAGACACATAACTTTTCCTGGCTTTTTAGTATTATTTTTTATTGGTTTTATAAAAATCATTGGATAATATCCCTGGAAGTTTCCTGTACTTAAAGAAATCCTTAGGTGGGGATCAATCCACCCAAGCTATCATCATAGAGCAGTTGGCCTGCTCTTACCTTGTAAGTACATTCTTTTATTATTTTATCAACAATACTATACAGTGAGCACTATTAGTTGTCTCTTTTATTCCGAGAATTGGACACCAACGACGGAGAGGAACCCATTTATATCCCATAAGCGGGGATTTAATCCGCTGTAGGCGCCTTACTCCAGAGCTGGATATTAGCTCTGGTAAATGTGAGTTTTATACTATTATTCTTTTATATTCACATTTGAATTTTACATACTGCACCATTGGTTGTCTCTCTCTCTTTTTATCTTTCATACCAAGTGGATCCACCATATCAGTAGAAGACCTTACCACCAAAGACTATCTGTAAGGATAAATATTGGGATTTTCTCCCTTTTTTGGACTTTCCATTGGACTATTTTACATATATTTTTTATTATTTATTGTGGCGCAGCCTTTTACTGTTTTTTATGAAAGGAGGAAAGGCTACGGTGGCAGGAAGAAGATGACAGGGGAGAAGCCATGTTCTCTTAGTCTGCATAAAGAAAGTGTGTCCCTACCTGTTTCAATTATCTATTCCTGCTGGGACTGTGAAATAAAAGCAGGCTAGTGCACTGCTACTACAAGAACTTAGGGACTGTCTACTGCTCTACTAGGAGAATTAGAAGACTGTTATTTTATGTTCAGCTCCCTGCAGATTCTGGAACTTTCTGCAGGAGTGTGAATGAGCTCTTGCATACTGTCAGCAGAAGGAAGAGAAATAATTGCTATTGCTGTTCTGCTGCTGTCCTACATTCTGCTTGATCTCTCTGGAGATATCTGCAGTTACAGAATTCATGCAAAGGTACTGTCTCCAGAAATTGGGGATTCTCCCTTATAACTATATCTGGGCAGCGCTACCTACACCTAAGGGCCCCAACATTGTGCACATAATTTACCTGCAGGTACCTATAAGATTAACTGTTGAGATGTAGTTATTGACGTTATTAAGGGAACTTTGTTGTCGGCATTCCTGCTGCTAAAGACTCATGTGACTGTATCATTCCTACATCAGGGACTTTATCATCACCCAGCATTAGCCAGGAACTGCATTGTTATTTCTGCTGTTATATGTATATCTCTCTAACCATAATATAGCCTGTATTCCCATGTCTGTATTTATTTATTTCATGTTTCTGAGGTATTATTAAATGGAGGGTACTCAGTGGGGTGGGTTCCCCATAAATAGAAGTTGCTCTTCTAGAGGCACTGTGTCAGAACAAGATGTCCCGATCTCCAAACCATAGCGGAGGCTCAGGATCACTGTCAGCGACAGAAGAAGGTGTAACTGCTGCTAACTACGGCTTGTTGCCAGGAGCAGGGCAAAAAAGGGTTACAGATGGAGGCACTGCTGACATGGATCTGGACTGCAAAATTGTAAAACAAATCCAATGTCTCTGCCCCAAAGAAGTCAGGGACTGGGCCAGGGAGAAATTAATTCCCCCAAATCAGGTTGTAGCTGTGTGAAACATGCCTCTCAACCTAGAGAGGAAATGTTTTGATAATGCCTTTCGACAGATACCAGGGTTACAGAAATTCTGCCTTGTACAGAAGGATGAGAAGGCAGGACTTGCTGTTGCTCTAGTGAAGAGTCATAGGCCACTAAATAAAGAAGATTATCTTAAGTATTTACAGTTGCCAAAGACTCGGCTGCCTAGGAGTCCTTTGATTTATGCTCAAGATGAGTCAGAAGATGAAAGTGACCCCAACGATGGTGACTGTGATCACATATTTGGTAGTCCTCCTAGGAGAATAATTATGACTGATACTGAAGGAGGAGGCAGTGATGAACACGCACAAAAGTGTCTGAAACTGCCCAGAAGAAGCAGGACCCATAGAAAACTTCCTAGTGTTCCCACAAGTCAGAAGACAGAGGAGAACCTCTCCCTAACCGAAGTCTTAACTAATTACAAGATACTGAAAGTTTTTACGGAGTTATGCCGGTGCCAACTGGGGAAGAAGGATTTGCTCTATGGAGAAGTAATGTAACCCAGGCACTAAAGGAGTGGATCTGTAATGAAGAGTCCAAGCAACTGAGGTTGATCGAAGGCCTGAGATCTTCTGCACTAGAATTAATAAAGTGTCACCTACTACGCTTCCCGAATTCTCCTGCTGATGATCTTTTAAAGGTGTTAGACCATACGTATGGTGAGGAAAGTGAAGAGGAAGAGCTCCAGTTACAATATGCTGCCACAGTTCAACAGGAGAAGGAAACCCTCACTTTATATCTCATACGTTTAGAAATAATCCTAGGAAAGTTGTTGTTGAGAAGAATGCTATCACATCACATAGGTTTGATGAATATAGAAGGAGACAAGTTCTAAGAGGAACTCTACCAGATGATCCTGTAACTACAGCTTTGGTCAACCTTCTACGTGCTATGGGGTTGTTGGATTATGCTGAAACAATGAAAAAAGCCAAAATAATACACAACCAATTTGACCATATCCTAAAGCACCATGATAGCATAAATAAATCATCATCACATGAAAATCATAACACACCCAAGACTTACCAACAGCTGTATTAAACAGGGAAGAGACCAGGGAACAGGGAAGCTCTAAAAAAGTTATCAGATATCTCCTCAGCCAGGGAAGAAAGGAGAATTGAAATGTTTTAGCTGTGGGCAAGCAGGACATGCCTTGATCAAATGTCCCTTGAAGGATTGTGGAAATTCTAGATTGGGACCAAAATCCCTTGTATCTCTTGTGATTGAAGGCATCCATGCGTCTGCCCTCCTAGACACTGGGTCTCAAGTAACAATAGTCTTTCGGTCTTCCTATGAGGAGCATCTAAGCCATTTACCAATGTTATCAGCATATGATGTGAAATTGTGGGAACTTGGTTCTCAGAATTACCCCGTCGAGGAAGTAATTCAAGTACAGATTGTGATCCCTCAATTGGACACTGAGAAATAATGCCCTATGAATGTGTAGGCTTTGGTGAGCCGAAATCTAAATCGTCCTGGAGTTCCCATCATATTGGGGACTAATACTCAGGTGGTGAGAAATGTGTTTCGAGGTTACTTGAAATAAATGGACAATGCCTGCTTAAAAAAATTGCATGAACTAGAACCAGCTCTGAGGCAAGATTGTAACAGACTAGGCCTTGAAGCTGGAACAGGTCAGTTCCATTATTGGGGGCCAATGCCTGTTGACCTTCAACCAGAGGAAATTAAATCCATTACTGCTATTGCATTTTTACGGGAAGGAATGCTATCAGGAGAGTGTCAGTTTTGCCTGAAGATGATTCAATTAAAGGCTGGACTATCATGCCTGAGGTAAGAGATTGTCGAAGTAAGAAAATTGATACGTTTGCAGTAACCATTCACAATCAATCACCAATTGATGTACGCATAGAACATTGCCAGAAGCTGGGAGTGATCCATCTTTTGGACGAAGTAAGACCCATTTCATCTTTGCCAGTTGGATTGAGCCAAGATTCTATTCAAGAGTTGAAATTTGATTTAAAATGTATCAGACAACCTGCAGAATGGAAAGATAGATTACAAAAGGCCATTCAGGCTAGAGAAGAAGTTTTCTCTAAAGGGGATATGAATGTAGGATGTGCCAAGAGTGCTCAGCATGCCATTCGGCTAAATGATTCTACCCAATTTATAGAGAGATCTCGAAGGATAGCTCCTCGAGACATTGAAGATGTAAGGGATATCCTTCATGAGATGTAGAAAGCAGGGTTTGTTCAAGAATCAAGAAGCCCATATGTATCACCTATAGTGGTGGTCAGAAAGAAAAATGGGTCTTTGTGTTGATTACCGTACACTGAACAAGAGATCTATTCCTGATCAATATACATTGCCAAGAATAGAAGATCTTTTGAATGCCTTGAATGGCAGCCGGTGATCCAGTGTCTTGGACCTTCACTCTGGATACTATCAAGTCCCTATAAAAGCAGAGGATCAAGAAAAAACAGCTTTTATTTGCCCTTTAGGATTCTTCCAATTTACTCGCATGCCTCAAGGTGTTACCGGAGCTCCTCAACCTTCCAGTGATTAATGGAGAAGACTCTAGGAGATATGAGCTCTAGGGAATGTATAGTTTATCTGGACAATGCAATTGTATTTGGAAGAAGCCCTGAAGAGCATGAGAAATAGATCGTCTACAAAGCAAAGGCCTGAAGTTGTCTCTTGATAAATGTAAATTTACTCAGACTTCTGTAACCTATGTTGGACACATTGTATCAGCAGTTGCTGTTGCCACAGACCCAGCCAAAGTAGAGGCAGTTGTCAACTGACCTAGGCCCAACAACATTGAAGATATGCATTAATTCTTGGGATTTTGTGGCTACTTCCGTTGTTTTGTAGAAGGCTATTCAAAGATAGCCCGAAGCCTCCATGACCTCTTGAAAGGGGACACTAGGAAGGTTCGGACTGGCCACTCTAAGGAACCTATAGGAGAGAAATGGACTCTGAATTGTGAAGAAGATTTCCAACTGCTCAAGAGAAAGATGACTGAAGCACCTGTGTTAGCTTACGCTGATCCCAATATGCCATATATTATCCATGTAGATGCAAGTTTGGAAGGACTAGGAGGGGTTCTCCATCAGGCATACCATGAAGGCCTGAGGCCAGTAGCATACATTAGTCGGAGTCTTACTGGAAGTGAAAAGAACTACCCAGTACACAAGTTGGAGTTTCTTGCTCTGAAGTGTGCTATTGTGGACAAATTGCATGATTATTTGTATGGTGCTAAGTTTGAAGTGAGGACTGACATTAACCCTCTTACCTACATCCACAGCTAAGCTGGATGCCACAGGACACTGGTGGCTAGCAGCACTATCCAGCTACGATTTCTCTTTAAAATACAAGCTGGGCCCTACAAAGGTGGGGGCAGATGCTCTATCTAGGAGGCCTGGAATGCCTGTTACAAACGAAGATGGGGAGTGAGTTGAAATTCCAGGCCCAGGAGTCAAAGCCCTATGTCACACTTCTATTGTGGAAAATGGATTTCTGAGTTAACATGTATTGATTCTCTTAGTTGTACCCCCAAGGTAATTCCTAAAGCCATGTGTCTTCCAATTACTATCCCTGAATGGTCTATTATCAGCTTAGATGAGAGAAAACAAGCTCAAGCTCAAGACCCAGTAATTGGCTGTCTCATCAAAGCTGTAGAGAAACATGATTTCCAGTATATGAAGGATTTGCCTGTTGAACTACGAAACCATTTTAAAAGGTAGTGTAGTCGATTCCATATTGAAAATGGTATCCTATTTAGAGTCATACAATACCATGATCACCCTGGCCGAAAACAGTTGGTCCTCCCTCAAATGTTCAGATGCTTAGATCTCTACATGACTTCCATGGCCATTTAGGAATTGACACGACTTTTGGCCTAGTCCAGGATCGATTCTACTGGCCCTACATGAGAGAATCTGTGAAGATGTATTGCTGAAGGTGCAGAAGAAGCATCCAGCGGACGACTTTACCTACCTGTGCTGCCCCCATGGGTCACCTAACAAGTTCTGGTCCTATGGACTTAGTGTGTATGGACTTTCTTTGCATTAAACCTGACTCTACTGGTAAGATCAATGTGTTGGTGATTACAGATCATTTTACTCGATATGCTCAAGCCTACACTAGAAGGCAGTTACAGTCACTAAAGTGTTATGACAGAAATTCTTTACCCATTATGGGTTTCCTAAACAATTACATTCTGACCAAGGTCGAGATTTTGAAAGCAGAATAATTAAAGAAATGCTGAGACTGTTACAGATTGAGAAAACAAAGACGACTCCATATCATTCTGAAGGAGATGCTCTTCCGTAAAGATTCAATCGAACTCTATTGGATATGTTAGGCACTCTTAAAGATGTAGAGAAGAGGAATTGGAGTCAACATGTAGAAACTCTGGTCCACGCTTATAATTGAACCAGACATGAATCCACTTGGTTTTCCCCTTACTTTCTGATGTTTGGCCGGGAGGCAAGACTGCACATTGATATTCATTTGGTGTCTTCTGATTGTATAAGCCTTGCTTCTCATTATCAATATGTTAGGAATTTAAAAGAAAGTTTACATAGGGCCTATGAATTGGCTGAGCAAGCTACTGACAAGACTAATGAAAATAACAAGCGAAGATATGATTCCAAAGTACATTACAAAGACATTTAGCCTGGAGATAAAGTACTCTTGAGAAACCTGGGAGTTCCAGGGAAGCATACATTAGGAGATCGCTAGAGACACACTCTCTTTGAGGTTAATTCCAAAGTTCCCAGGATTCCTGTGTATCGAATCATAGGGCCTGAGGGTAGGATCAAAGCTTGGCATAGAAATCCCCTATTACCTAGTGCCTTCTCTGTTGAAGATTCTAATTTGGAGGAAAACACTGGCAAAGCCAATAAGAATTCCAGCCTAAAGCCTCTCTTAGAAACTGACCCAGAAGACAACCCTGGAGAAGGTCCGAGTGGGACATCACCAACTAATGATAAAGAAGAAGCTACAGCTTCCAGCCCTGACAGAGACTGGTGGACAGCGCCAGAAACACAGTTGGTCCCTTCTACCTCTGCTCCTTCTCCATCTTCCTCCTCATCCGGATTGAATCCTGAAAGTCCCAGCTTTGTCCCTCATTCACCAGTTAGGGACTCTAACTCTATGCGAGGATCTGGACCTCTGTCTACCAAATCCATTCCCAATGGTGTGGATGAAAGACCCTGTGATGAAGAAATTAGTGGAGAACCCCCGGGCAACCGAAGTAGAGGCATGAGCAAGTATTGCATAGTCTGACCGAAATATTGAGTGATAGAATTTCCCTGTATTAGATTGTATTGTACCATCTTGTTAAACGGTTATAAACCAGATGAACTGCTCTTGCCAGTGGAAGGCAAGGCTTCTACGGGGGGGAGGATGTAACAGACTGCTATATTTTGTTGTTTTGCTTTAAGTTTTGAGATCTTGAACTTTGCCCTTTCCCCTGTCATGTGAGGAGGAAGGGTCAGGGTGGCAGGAAGAAGAGGACAGGGGAGAAGCAATGTTC